GCATTTTTATTTCACTGGAGATTTTAGGGAAGTTCAAGACATCGAATAAAGAGATGTGTGCCTGTTACAAGAGGCACTGCAGGACCAAGGATCAATTTGCCCAGGCAAAAATGTTGTCATGAAAAACTCACAAGTAAGACTTCAAGATGACTCCAGGAAAACAAGTTTGATAAAAAAGCCACGGTTGTCTCAGAAATGTTGTTTCAGCTCACCAAGCCAACCCTGTGCCAACCTCTGCCACAAGTTTCCCTCTTCTTTACCACTGGGGCCCCTCCCATCTCCATAGGCACTCTGTCCTTCTCTTCACCCTGAATTCCACTGGTAGGCAAGTTGTATGTTTTGTCTGTGCAGGAGGCTGGCAGATGAGTCTGGGTAATTGTGCTTTGGAGAGTTAGAATCTCTGGGACTCTAGTAAACAAAATGTGGTTCCCTTTTCCAGAGCTCTTAAGAAAAAGGCGCATGCCTGCCTTTCTTGATGCAGTTACCTGGAATACCCTTCACTCCCACCTCCATCACCCTATATCCCATGCACCCTTCAAGACTCAGATTTTGCGTCACCTTCTCTGGGCGACCTTCCCTGGTTCTCAGGGTTAGAATTGCTCTTTTTGTCTTCTGGGCTTCCCTTGCTTTTTGTGCCTCTATCACAGGGCTGACCACAGTCAGCCTCGTGTTCTAACTATCTGTGTAGTTCCGACTTGCTTATTTTGCCGTCAACTTTGAAGACAGGGGCCTTTTATTGTCATTCTGTATCTCCTACGTAGTTCCTCTGCCATAGTAAGTGCTTAATGAATGAATATTAGTGTAATTGAACCTTCAATGAAAATGTGTTGCATGTCGACAGTGAGTTTTATAGATAAACAAGCAAAACCTTACTTCTCAAAGTAACATTTCTTTCTGAACAAGTAGATAGTGAAATATAGAATCTACCAGCTGCAGGCACATATAATATATGGCTGTAGACTCTAATAAGCTTAAATCAAGTCACAGTAGTCCATTTGCTATTTACAGCTAATAGACTCCAATTGTTCCCATACAGTAATCTGTTGTCTCCATTTCTCCATTCGTACTTCAACATTTAAGCTGCCGGATGGTCCATATAATCTATTGTTCATACTAATGCACAACCATCCCAGGACTTGCTGTTTCTTCAAAAAAAGAACATTAAGTTAATGGTTCAATGTTAATGTGAGTTGATGTTATTGATTTTGTGCTGACAGTTGATTAATTACAAAGACAGGTGTCATGCTTTTGTATTCTCATCTCTGACTTAAATACCCAAGTGTGACTCACAAAAGCTGATGTCAGCAAGACCCTTGATCTCTGAGCCTGCTGTACATGGTATCAGAATGATTATTATTTTTACCCCCTCTATTGCTACATCATGATGGAAATTTTTCCGATAAAAAGCTGACTTGCAGTGTAAGCTAAGGGGGACTTTGTGTTGTATTACCTCTGTGGAATTTTAAAAAGTGGGTGTGTGAATTTTATTTGGAAATTATTTCTTACACTCTGTTCTTCTCCTCCTTTCCTCCTCCTTTTCCTTTTTTCTCTTTCTTGTTTTCCTCCTCCTCCTTTTCCTTGTTCTCTTTCTCCACCATATACTCAGTTGCCAGTTATAGTACTGAATAAGAGTTTTCCTATCCATAGATTAAAAATATGATCCATAGAGATGCCTTCCTTTTTCAGTCCAATAAGGTGTTCCACTGCCTTTTGGGCATAGGTTAATACAAATGGGGACTCTTCCATCTAAGCTATACACAAGCCTTTGAAGTCACAGATTTAGGAAGGCATGTTCTCTCAGCTAATTGAATTATTTTGTCCTGAATTCCATCAGGACACCTGGGTGCTAGTCTAAATTCTGCCAAGAGCCATCTGTGTATCCTTGGGCTACTCTGACTCTGTGTTTTGGGTTCCTCATATTTAAAATGGAGAACTTTCTATTTTCCCAACTCTGTAACAAAGGCAGGAAAGGCTGGTGTGTCTCAATATCCAAGGCATTTGGGAAAGCTGGGCATCCACATGAACAATGTCAATTTGTATTTGGGAGCCAGTAAAATGCGGAGTGAAATTACATAAGAAACCTGATACTGGACAGCTGGATTGCAAACTGAATGTGGTTGAAGCCAGCCGCACTGCTGTGAGTTTGTCAGAAGCATGGGGGGCTTTGCTTTTCTTAGAAGCTCCCCAAAGGAGGAGTTACCCAAAGTGTGTCCCCAAGCCTGGGTCGGGGCAAAGAGGCTTAGAGCTGGAGAAGGTTGGGTTAATATAACAGCAACCCCAAAGCAATCCGTGAAGGCTTTGTTGTCCTACAATAGGATATCATGCATGTCACCGCAATGGCTGCTTTTCAGCTTTTGATTTTTCTTCTTGGGAAGCAATTTCCACAAGTGCTTCCAAAATGAATGCTCTGGTGCCTTTTAGGGAAGGGTTGCTGTTTGAAGTATTTACTAAATTCTGTTCATGGGTAGTAATTGGTTGAGGTTTTCCATTTCTTTTGGAGCTAATTTCATTAATTACGTTTTCCTTTAAAAATAATCCTTTTCATCTAAGTTTTCAAACTAATTAGCATAATGCAGAGAATAACTTCTGAATTCCCAGTCACTACTCCTTTCTTGTTTGTAAATTTGTGTAATTTGTGTCACCTTTCAAAATCTTTGAATGCTAATTCCTGTTGTCTGCTACAATTGAGTTCTTCTTTCTTGTTCCTACTTTGCTGCTTTTGAATATCCTTCTCATTTTCTTTACATTTCTTTACACTGCGCTGACTAAATTCTCACTCTGTGCTAAGCACTCTATCAGAAACCATGAGGAAATATAGAGGAAGAGATAAATTTGGTCTCTGCATTCAGGAAACCTGTGATTTCCTCAATGGGAAGGTCTAAGTGAGTACTTAAAATACAGGCAGGTCTTGAAACAAAGTGCCAAATCCTAGAGACCACTAGTGGAGGGTCGCCCGACAGTGAGAGTTCCCTCACTCATGACAAAAATGACAGCCAGCCAGTCGCAGTCAGGGCCAACCTCCAACATGAGGGCATGGCAGAGATCTTCATGGTCAAGGATGTATAAAGAGGTAAACAATTATGAGACACACAATGTATCAACATATTAGGGGCTTCAGATTTCATTAAGCCAGGTCCAAGATGTCAGCAGGCCTCTGCAGCAGGGTTCAAAGCCATGCAGCCTCTGTCATTGGATTTGATACCAAGACAATATACAGGATACTTACTGAATTAACAGTGGCAACCAGTAACTGAGTCACTTGGATGTGGTACGGAATAGCTCCCACGGCACCTACAGATGCTCCTACCCTAGCACTCATGACACTGTGTTGAAATGCTTTGGTTCAATATATCTTACTGCATCAGATTGTGAGCTTCATGAAGTCACGGCCTGAGTCTTATTCATCTTTTTCTCCCCAGTGCCTGAGCTCCACATAAGTACTTTGTACTACTCAGTGGTCAACAGCTCAGGCTTTAGAGACAGACAGACCTGCAGCTGTTTGGCTGCATTGCTTTCTACCTGAGCAACTTATTGTCTCTGGGCCTCAGTTTTCTCATCTGTAAAACAGTGATGACAGTAATACCAACTTCTAGGATGTATTGTGAGAGTAAAACAAGATGACAGGTTTGGAATTACTTAGCAGGGTACCTGTCACAGAGTAAGCATTCGATTAGTGGTGGCTCTGGTTGTCATTTCATGATTGTGGAATGAATAGATGAGGGACGAGTGGGCTGAAGAAGGATGTTGGCCTACTTGATGAGGTCAGCAGCCAGGGCTGGGAAGAGGCTTAATAGGAGCGACCTTGGCAGCCCTCCAAGTCTTCCTTCCTTCTTTTGGTATCTCTTGGATAATTGGGAGCCTGAAACAATGCAAATAATATTTAAATACCTCTTGCTTTGTGTAAAGCTTGCAATCATCTTGGCTGGGGGAGCAGGGATTGAATAAACCCCAGGTGGGGGATGGTGTTATTAGTATAAAATTTTCCTATGCAAAATATTACTCTCTGCACCCAGCAAGCTGTTGTTTTGTGAGCACTGTGCCTTTGGAAATCCATTGCTGGCAGCTTGAATGGGTAGCTTAGAACAATTAGAAGCTTTGAACAATGTCAAGCTAAGGATTTGGATAAGAATGGTTTGACTATATGGTTTCTCCTGGGATTTCCCTGGTGAGCTGAACTAATTACCAGATGTAATTAGGAAAGCTGAGAAGTGGGGAACTACAGGGAGCAGCATACTTTCCGAGGGACCCTCATTTCTTTGTGCGGAAAAGGGATTGGGGAAACTGTTTATCTGTTGTGGAGAAGCAGCACTGCATAGGGTACTAGTGGTTGGGAATGATCCTGGTAACATGCCTTTAGCAGCAGAGCCTCAAGCCTATAGGGACCCATTCCTCTTGATTAAGTTTTAAGTGGTCAGACAGTATTCCCCTCCTTGTTTTTGAGGGAGGAATAGTATTCTGGGAGACAACCAGGTTCTTGGTCCATTTTTAGCAAAAGTCCAAAGCAGATGAGAACTGGTGTCCTTTCAAAACTCATGGAGATGAAAAAAGGAACTTCCATGTCTTTATCAGCCACAGAGTGTATCTACTGCAGGCTGCAGAAGATCTTTCTCATCTGTCTTAGTCTATAAACCCTGGCCCCAGAGTTTGGCAAGGAGCACTCTCTGTCTTTGAGGCTCTGAGAAGAGGTGATATTTGTAAGGCCACCTGCTTGCTGATTTTTATTCAGAGGGTAGGCATTCTATTTGGACATGGTCTCAAAGTTACTCTTGATGCAATAGAAACAAGATTACCACACAAGAAACACAGACAATGGCACTCAGTAGATCTCTACTCACCAGGGCTCCCGTGCAGACTATGAGCCTGGTATTTTCTGAAAAGGAAATCCTGAGGGCTTGAGATGATGACCCAGATGTGAAGCTCTTTTCCCCTGCTGATATGGTATGAAGCTGATTGTCACAAGACCGTCAAATATCAATCTAATATTTCTGCTTTGTCTGTAGGTAACCTGTCTCCATGACTTCTTTGGTGATGATGATGTTTTTATTGCCTGTGGTCCTGAAAAATTTCGCTATGCTCAGGATGACTTTTCTCTGGATGAAAATGGTAAGCACAACCACTGGATTTTACTGCTTCATTGTTCTCCCTCCTTTTATCCCTTGGGATTTCCAAGATTCATACTGCCTTGAGAACACCAATGCATGGCCCCTCAAGGAAAAATATTATCAGTCATTCTCCTGTATATTTGGATACATGAGTCACTAAGTAAATGGTTGATTGGATGTCCCAGATGCCCAGCCTCCAAACTTAATAAAACTCACCATCTGCTCCAATAGTGACCATACTTCTTGAACCCCATAGTGTGTCACATGGGCTGACAGGTTCAATCAGACCGTGGGAAAGAGCATTTGGAGTTAGAACTTGGATATCGGATATATAGGTTCTTTGTCAACATCCTCCAGCTATTTGGCCCATCTTGATGGTTCCATTTTAGAGAGACTTTCCACTCTGTTCTTAGTGTCAAACCTTTTCCCTTATCCCACCTTCTGGCTTGCTGCTCTATTCCCCCTCCTTTGTGACTCAAGATTCCAGAGATTTGTTAATCTCAGGAAGGAGGTGAGTATCTGTCTATTTCCCTTTGCTTGAGTCCAAGCTCCATATACAAGTTAATAGTGAATTAGCTTATACAGTAATGGGATCAGGATATGATCCTGATAGAGAGGCTCATTCAAAACATACCTCCCAATTAAGTGTGAGAAAAACAAGCAAATTGTACTGATATAGAACTTAACAAACAGCTCAAGTGACAAGGATCTGAAAGAGATGACATTTCTGTTTTGTCCACTTTGAGAAGAGGCAAATGACCATAAAATGGCTAAACAACTCCCAGGCTACATCAAATTTCCTATACCTTCTACATCTCCAGCTCTGGACAGTGACTGCTAAACTTGATAATCAAAACAAGAAGTAAAAAAAATGAACTTTCTGCTTAATTCAGTTTCCTGAAAAATTCAATTTACCAGAAAATATCCCCTCATCTTTCTGGGTAATTGATACTTCACTATATCTTTAAGGAGGAGGCGATAAGGTTGTGTCAAAGGAAAGACCCTTCACCCAATCATTTGGTTCCACTTTGAATATTGTAGCACAAAGCCGGGAAAGCTAAAGTGGAAAGAGCACTACACCGGGACTCAGGAGACTTGGTTGCTAGTCCTTGTTCTATTATTTTCTTGCTCTGTGGCCCTAAGCAAGAGGCTTAAGTTCTTTGTATTCTCATCAGCAAAGTGAGTACAATAATTCTACTAACACATTAGCACGATCAGTGCCCAAAATTACTATAGTAGGGATGCTGAGTGACCTGCATCGAAAGCGTGCCCCAAACGTGTCAGACTGAAGTGGAAGGAAGTAACAGAAACATTTGGCAGACTCCTCCATACTCACAAGCTTTCTTTAAGTTCTGAGTGACAGAGTCATTGCTGGCCCATTTATTCATTAAGCCACCCTAGGGGATTATGGTAACATGCATTGAAAATCAAAAAGAACTCTAAATACAAAATGGTGCTGGTGGTAGAAGGGCTTATTTATAAAATGCCATGACATCCTTAATATGCCTATTACAGTACATGGCATGTAATAAGCAGTAAGTGGTAGCTCTTGCCTCTAAATGACTCGTGACTATTTCATCTGTGTGGCTGCAACCTCTGAGGTGTCAGTCTCTTCTCCATGAAAATTAATTATGCCAACAGGTGCTGTTCGGTGATTGGCTGGGTTGTCTACAAATGATTGAATTGAATATTTAATAACCAAACCAACCTGCTTATCAGCTCCTCCCTTGTTTCCACAGTCTAGAGAGTTAAACACCTGATTTAGCTCAGATGACTTTCAAAAGTCTCTCCCATGCCTCCTTCCCCAGAGCCCTCGTTCCTACAAGTGATAAGGAGTGCCTTGTAGGCCTGAAGCCTTGGGTGCTTTGGCCCGTGGTGGTTCTTCCAGGTTCCAAAGGTTGGTAATAGGCTGAGCCTCCGTTTGCTGCTGGCTCTCCTAAGTTGCCTGTGTCCTTTTCCATCAGAATGCCGTGTCATGAAAGGAAACCCATCAGCCGCAGCTGGCCCAAAGGCATCCCCGACACCACAGAAGAGTTCAGCTAAGAGCCCTGGCCCTATGCGCCGGAGCAAGTCCCCAGCTGACTCAGGTAACGACCAAGACGGTGAGTGCTCTTCTCCTAACTGTGCACGCTGACTTCATTTACAGAGGCCAGTACCGTTTGCATGCAGAGAGGCATGAGCCCCTCATGAACATGGTTGTGTCTCCATGAGACCAGTTCTATCAGCTCAGAGACCAGTCAAACCTGGGTGTGTCATGGAGACACAACCCTGATTCTTCTCAAATGGATGCAGCCCATAAATCTGGCCTATTTGCCATGCTTGCTGTCATGCCTACTATCGTGGTTGTCTGCTTCACTGTCATCATCTTCGACATCACCCAGCAAAAGCATAACCAGTGAAATAATCAAGTCAAACATTAATTTGAAATAGAAAATCAGAATCAAAAACAAGGAGGTAAAAACATGCTACCCAAAGGTGTCAGCATAGTCGATGCACTTGAGCTTCAAATTTGACTGAACTTCTTAGAAGCCAAAAGGAAAAGACAAAGAAGATAAATTGCATCATTATCACAATAAGAAAAGAAAGTAGAGGCCAAGTTCTGAAAGGAAACAGAGAGATTTGGCATATAGGTTTTATTTAGTATATAGTGAATGATCTAAAACATGTGGCCTGTGGATCACTGCCAACCCACAATTTATCAGTCTGAGATGAGATTAGGAACTTGTGCCAAATGTAAATCATGCCACTGAGCAAACCATTTACTTCAGCAGACTCGTTTTTCATAGCATGATTTTATCGATGAAGGCAGCTGTATGTTGGTTCACATTCTGGTGCAAAGTCTTATACCTGCAGTTGAAGCGACACTGGTCTAAAAGGCAAAAGGCCACAGAAGTCCAAGTTTAGAAGTTTAATAGACTCAGGCACAGATCATTTGAATTCTTCCTGATAAGGAAACTGTATGGTCTGGAAAACTTACACATTTGTCCTCCCAAGGTGTAGGGTTCACCTTGAGAATTCGTCTAGCCTGAGAGCCTTGGGGCAGAGAACACAAGCTCCCTTTATCTCCTTCAGTTTGAGGCAACTTGAGTGGCCTATTCACTTTGAAATGCTTGCAGCCTAGAGAAACAGCCTGTCCTGTCAGCCTCACACTGCCAGGAGCAGGCATATCACCACACATCTTTTTATTCTCAGGCAGAAGGAAATAAACTGTGACGAGGTATCTCAGGCTTTTCATATTTCCATGTCTTTGCAACTCTGTTCTCCTGCACCTGGAATGCCATCTTGCTTGAAAACTCCTCTTCATTCTTCAATACCTCAAATAGAAACAGTTGTTCTATTCTCTGCAATATCATAGCATGTTATTCGTATCTCTGGGGTAATGTTTGCCACACTGTATTGTAAAGTGTGTATTTACTTGTCTATTTCTGCAGCTAAATACTGGGCCCCTGCAGGGCTAGGTGTCACATTCATTTTTGTATCCTCAGGATGGAACACAGTGCCTAGGTCTTAGTAGATGCTCAAATAATGCTTGTGAATGAAAAGATATATAAGAGCACCTATTTCACTCAGCGTGGTGCTAGAGACCCAGTAAGCATTTAGGTAATATTTGCTGAGGGAATGAAAATGCATGTGTTTGGTGATATTTTGGTTAGCATATAGAACACCACAGGAATCTACCCAAGTAAACTCATATAGCTCAAACTATAAAGACCTGGGTTTTAACAGTTAGACTGAAAATGAAATTATTTGTATAGATCCTAAGCAGGGCCTTTCAAAAAATGGACTTTAAACACTTCATCAAAATTCATAAGGTCCTGTAATTATTGCTTAGTCAATCACTTTTCAGAAGTATCACTGGCTATTTCTGGGATTTCTGATCTGTATTACTTATATCTTGCTATGAAACAAATCACCCCAAAATTTAGTGGCCTAAAAGAACAGACATTTATTATCTCACAATTTCTATTGGTCTGGAATTCTGGAGTGTCTCAGCTGGATGGTCATATTTGACTCAGGATCTCTCATGTAGTTAATTGAGCTCAAGGTATTGGTAGGGGCTACAGTTCATCTGAAGGGCCAACTGGGACTGTAGGATCTACTTCCAAGATGGCTGTTGGCAAGGTCATCCCCCACACAGTGATTCAAGAGAGTATACAAGGAAGAAGATGTAGTACCTTTTGTGATCTAGTCTCCAAAGCCATTTACTAGCACTTCAGTTTTTGTCTATTCATTAGAAGCAGTCTCTATGTCCAGCCCACATTCAAAGAGAGGAGTATTAAAGAGTTTGTGAACCTCTTTTCAAACCACCACATAACCCATTAATTAGAAATGCTGAGATGGCAGTAACTTGAAATAAATATATTCTCTGCAGAATGTATCCAGTTGGGTTACCCAGCACATATGAACACAACCACCTGTAATTAAACAGTTTAAACATACGTCCAGTCATTGATCTCTAGCATTCTATCTACATAATTTCCCTTCTAAGAAATAAAAACTGCACTGATTCGAAGATATGAGAGACAGAGAATAAATACATTAGGTCTCAATGAATATTTGTCAAATTGAAAAGAGTAATGATGGGTCCCAAGCAAAGCTTAGGCAGGCAAGATGTGTGCTGGCTCCTTCAGAGCTTCCCTGCTAAAGAGAAGGAATGATGATATATTCACACACACACAAGATAAAAAGAGTAATCAATGGGAGGGGGAGAGGGGGACTTCACTTGGAAGATAGCAGCTACCTGTTCCCTACAAGTAAAAAATCTAAAGTGGTGTTCTCAGAAGAGAGGATTTAAATCTTTATTTCAGATAGTTCATGAACATAAGTGAAGCCCAACTCTAGTCTAACCATCCTTCATGAAAATTTCAAGAACATTTGAGCTTTTCTCAGATTATGTGTCTAGAGCCTCCATGTGATATCAGCCTCAAGGAGTGAAAGGATTTATGTAAAAACCTTGCCCGTTCCCTGACAGTTTAGAGTCAAATCCAGGGCATGCACTCAGTGAACATTCCACTAGGGCAAAGCTGATTTCAGGTAAAATAGTACTTTAGGTAAGGTTAGGGTTTGACAGACCCATGTCCCTCTTTTTATCATAACCTCATTCAGGACCATTCCAAGCTGGGAGGTGGAAGGGGATGGGAAATGAAAAAGGAGAGGGAAACCTCTCTAAGAAGTCCCAACTGTGTGACTTTGAGACCAGTGTTTTACCTTCTAGGACATGGTTTCCATTTTGGATGAGACAGAACTTGTGTATCTATAGATAAAAATAATTTTTCATTGTTATCAGTTATTTACAATTTACAGAGTTGTACAATAGCTTCCTCAGAATTAAATAGCCAGAAGATGAGCTATAGACAATGCATACTTTTGCATTAGCAAAAATTTCTCCTTAGGAACACCAAGAAGATTTATTTCATAAAGTGTCAATGTTTTCCTGAGCTGTTAGCAAGGAACAGATGCAGGTTAATATATGTTTAACCAAAGAATAATGGCATTGGTGGGGCTGAGATTCTTTTTTCTATTCTAGGACATGATAGTACCACCTGCTTCCATCCTGTGTTAGTCTGTCTTGGATCTGGGACTATGTAGATAGATTCATATATTTTCATTCAACCTGAGTAACTAAAGTTTGTGGAAGGTAGGCATTTCCAGGGAATTTTGACTACCTTCCTTTGAAGGCAAACAAAAGCCAAAAATGTTCCTCTTTAACTGGGACTCAAACCAAATGAAACATTGGCTTAGTTAAGGTTCAGTTAATGGAATGTTTTGATGTTCTAGTTCATTAGAACATATGTAGGTTTGATTCTGGTTCGAACAAGTTTGCTAGATTTTCAAACATTAAAAATCCCCAAACCCAGAGCAATGGAGTTTGGAGAAAGCAAGTTTTTCTTTAAAGCTATGGAATGAAACAAATACTTCAGAGGACGGTAATAGTAAATGGATAAAAAATGAATAAAAAATATGTATGTTTGGTCCAGCTCATAGCTGAGTTAACATCTGGGTTCAGTTTGTCTTGAGTTTTAGGAAATTGATGTTGTTTGGTCTGTAATTTATGTGATAATTCGATTCCTGACTCCTTAGTCCTTAAGTTGTCTCTGCCCATGAATAAACCAAAATTCTGATACTTTATTCCTTTTGCGTTCAGTCCCCACTCCTTCCAATATTGAGTTTGCCCAAATGGAATGCCTGTTACTAAACCCTAAACTTGAGTTAAGGAGTGATTTGGACTCTAAAATATTGCTATAAGGAGCTCTCACTCTCACTGGGCAGAGATGATGGACTCTTAGAATTCAAGTCCCATTAGCATGTCTGCTTTGAAGTCAGCCAAGGGACTGTGGAGGACAGATAAAATCTGAGCCCAGAAGGCTCCTATGGGACGTTTGAAGAGAGCCTATGCAGTGGCCCACTTTGGTTAACCCAGAACTTGCCATTTTACTGGGCAAAGAAAAGCCTGGCTTCAGAAGTAAAGGAAGACATTTCTAGTGTGTCTTTCTGTTTCCATTTCAGCCATTCATGCGTTAATTTTTCCCTTTATGCAGCAACCCCAATTGAATTGAATTAAAAGGACAAAGTAGCTAGTTGCTCAGAAGGAATCTTTTCTTTTTCTTTCTTTCTTTCTCTCTCTCTCTCTGTCTCACTCTCTCTTTCTTTTAAGGAGCCTCCAAGGAAGGTAATTACCCGCTGGTAGGCTGAGAGACTTGGAATGTGATAATGAGTTTGCTATTCTTCAACAGAAAGTCATTGTTATAGTAGCTCAGTATTCCCCACCCTCCTTCCCCCAACCTATCTATGTGACCTATTCCTGAAAGTCAAATCTTCCCTGTTCGCAAACTCACAAGCATGAATGGCCTCTCTACCAAAATATATAGCTTCTGAAAGGGAAGGTCAGGGACACAAAGCAGTTGGGGGTAGGGGGGTTGTCCATGGGAGAATTGTATTCAGGAGTCCTCTCCTGAACCGAACAGGCTGCTTTGGGTTGCCTAAGACAGAGGATCCTGGCTGTTTTGACCTGCCTGAATGTGACTATCTAGACCAACTCTGTCCAAAAAAATATAATGGGAGCCACAAACTCAAGACTTGTATGTAATTTTAAATTTTCTAG